TGTTTGATCTTTGATGCAGGCCTGTCTGTTTGAAGAAAATCAAAGACAATTGGCCATCCTGAGTCTGCCACCAGTTCACCAGTTTGGCCTCATGTTATTTTCACACGCCGTTGTCCAGACCTCAGTCGGCTCTGCAGTCTGAAGAAACAGGGATTACAAATTGTGTGTAGCATGTGGTCAGTTTAGGAAATTGAGCTGTTTATAATTTGCAAATTTCTTTTTTCTTATAATATGCAAATTAAAAAACACTTGCTGTAAAGGTCTACCATCGGTAGTTTTTGATCAGGGATAATATAAATACAGTATACCAATTTATTTACATCACGCATCACAATAAGAAACCTATTGGGTGTTGGACAATTCCATGTGATTTCAGAGTTCTGCTTTGAAAACATGAACTTAGTCATTTACAGTGAACGTGCCAAGTTGTTTCCATTACTCAGTTTGTCTGTCTGTTACAGCCCTGCACAGCTCACTGATGCCATGGATGCCTGTGCTCGTATCAGAGGAGTCCCCATACGGACTAGGGCTCCAGTGCGGAAAGAGGTCGGGAAGTTTAAGTCTGTTTTTTAATGACACTTTAAAACTGAACATTTGCAAATAAAGGTATTTCTCTATAATGGGTAAATGTTTTTTTTGTTTGTTTGTTTTTTTTTTTAACATTTATTCAGTGTCCAAAGCCATTGGTTCCAAATGTATTTCCAATCGGGCCTCCCTGAGTGTGTGGTGCTATATCATGGGGTTGGGCCTAGTGCAGTTTTGTAGTAATAACATTTTTTAAAGTAAAGTTCAGTGGAGTTTTGAAGCATAAACAGTATATGTTTCTCTGTTTTGCGTCAAACTCATTTTGGTTCTCGGGCCACACACAACCTAATCAGATGTGTGGGCCGGACCAATATAATCACCAATTACCATAATAATTTAAAATTTACAATAAGTTCATGTTTCCTTTGTTTTCATGTAAAAAAAGTACAAGTATATTAAATAATTATTATTAATTACAATAATAATAATGTGACCAAAATATTCTGAACATGAAGTGTTTGTGTATTTTTTTTTTTTTTTTTTCAAAATTCATCAAGCGGGCCGGATTCATCACTCTAGCGGGCCACTTTTGGCCCGCGGGCCGTATGTTTGACACCCTGGTGTAGAGCAATGTTGTGTTGTTGGACCTTATTTAAGTAATTCTTTTTAACAGGCAGGACAGTCTTTTACAAATAAATTTAACTTCCACTTCTCTGTTGTTGACTTCCCTCTGCTTTTTTTTCATTGTAGACTATACATGACGGCGGTGCACACTGTTTGAAAAGCCTGTTCAGAAGTAAAAAAGAGCTCTGCAGCATCGGCCTGGAGTCACAAAACAGAGATACCGTGAAGCTGACAGAGGTTTGGCACTTTGGCCCACACGAACACACACACACACACACACTCTCTATTACTAACACTATTACATATCAGAATTTAATCACCGTCTGTGTTCTTTCAGATTAATTTTGTGTACCTGCCAGCTCAATGTGAAGGAGAAGACGTCACCCAGCAGGTGGATTTACAATCTCACAATCACTAATAGTAATAAAAAACCAAAAAGAAATGCTCGAATAGGTCACATGAAATAGAGAATACAAAGGTTTGAAAGATTTCAGTCTGATTTAGTCTACAGTTGGAAGTGACGCAGGTGCAAAGACCGATATTTTGTTCTTACAAGATTTTAGTTTTTTTGCTCTTTGGAGGATACAGCTAAACTGTCCCAAGAGTAGAAATAACAAAATCACAACTATATTAGATATTTCGTTTGTTTTTTTTTTTACAAATTTTTGTATTTTAGTTTTTTTGCTCTTTGGAGGATATTAGATATTAGATATTTTGGGGCTTCTTATATTTTTGCCACTGCCTTCTCATTCATAGGCTCTATCATATTTGCCTGGAGGTCTGTCTGAGCTCCTGAGGCCACTTCAAGTTCATGGCCTCAAGAACGACGAGGTCCTCCTGCTGCAAATTCACGTCGGCTGATGGAGCTGAAAGAGGCTTGCCCTCAGGTAAATAACAAAGGTTGAAATCCAAAATTCTATAAAGATTTAGACGGGGCATTTCCTCCTTGGCTTGACACGCGGATGTTTGAAAAAAAAAAAAAAAGAAAGAAATTTGAGAGTTATTTGTACAAGTATACTTTATAAGAAAATAAATGACTTTCCCCATTCATGGTTTCCCTTTTCCCTAGTGCAACCATCCCAGCTTTTCTCAGACTTTTTGAAGAAGTGCAGGTTACTTTTAGACAAACAGACAGAAAGAAAGAGGTTGTTTTCTCAGCCCACGGTCGCAGCCTTGTCTGAGTTCAATGTTTGGGTTCACACGGCCTCTGCAGCTCACTCTGCGGTTTTCGTCGCTCATGTCGGACCAGTCAGACCTCCCACCTTCTCGTCTGCTTTATAAAGTACATTTCTGTATTCTGCAAAATGTAACTTATCCCCTCTGCAATCAAAGATTAGACATAACGGGGGGAATCCTGTTCTCCTGATTATCATAGGTTCCCATGTGATTTCGGTGATACTTTGCAAAATCCTTTTGAACATAATCTTATTTTCTATGCACATATATACGTACTTCAGCTATCTGAAGCTCATAGATGCAAATCCAATCATTTTTGTTGTTCATTTCTCCTAGTGTTGGCTGAAAGCAGTATGTGTGCTGAGACACAATCCCAGTGCCAGTGTCTGTTCTCAGGCCAGTGTAGCGTCTTTTCTGGGCCTCCTCGGGTGCTACATGGCTGGCATCCGTTACGCTTTGGAGCTTCAGGCTCTTCACATGGGCTCGGCTGACGCGAATCAGCCAGAGGAGGACGACACCAACCAATCAGTTTCTTCAATTGAGGATGACTTTGTCACAGCGCTAGAGCACCTGGAAGAGGACGACACCGGAGACACTCTCTGTATGTTGAACACACTATGCTTAAAGCTATTCTGTTTTTATATGGTCTATAGCCATAGCTAACGAAGACATAAAGGTACATCACAGTGGTAGTCGTTTGCCAAGATTTTAAATGTATAACTAGATACAATAGCAAAATCTTATTGTACGACAAAAAATAGATGAGTTAACTAAAGATGAATAAGTTACTTAAGCCAACAAAATGATCCTGCTAAAGGCTGCAAAACTGCTAATTGTTATCCAAAATATAACAGCAGAGGAATCGTAGAAAAAAAAGTGGAGCGTTATTCAAAGATCATTCAAGGAATTGCTTAGCAAGGAATTGCTAAGAAAGGAGACTTTGACAATAAAATAAATACATGGTGCGACACTAGTTTATTAAAATTGCTACAATTAGACTTTTCTTCGTGGTACAAAATCTTTGCCTTTGTCTGACTCCACAGCTGCAGCTCCCTATAGCAATTTGAAGAAGCGAGATGTGGCCTCACAGACGATTCCTGCCCACAGGAGAAAAAAAGAATTATCAGGATCCGCTGTGATCATAAGCTCATTTTCCAAGAAGTGTTCAGCCAAACATCGGTCAACGGTTCCAGCTCTTCCTTCACCTCAAGGTCACGTTAGTGAATCCGAAGAGTCGGACTGCTCCAGCCCCAGTCCGATTATCTTTTTGGATGAGGTAGGCTACCAGAAAAGCCTGTTGGCCAAGCTGGACATTCCCCAGGTGCCAGGAGGACCCAACGAAAGAGTCGAGGACTCTGACTCTGAAGTTAGCGAGTTCTTTGACAGTTTTGACCAGTTTGATGACCTGGAAGACATGAGCTCGGAGAGCTCCACTCTGGCACTACCCTTGGAAAATGTATGTGCCCCACAGTCAGAGAAGAAGAACTCAGAGTCCAGCTCAATCATGACAGGATCTAAATTTGTTTCAAGGGGCTGTTCAACTAAGGGCATGAATCCTCACTGTTTTGACCAGCCAACGCTTCCCGCCAATGTGAAAAAGCCTACACCTCTAAAACCAGGTTCTCCCTACTCACTTAACTCTGAGCTGCCAGAATCCCCTAGACCAGTACAGACACCTTCTGAAGAAAATGGTGGTCCACTTTTTAGTCCCGTTAGCTCCTCAGCTTTCAGCCCTTTAGTGGATTCTAATGGACCGCTCGAATACTTCTGGAAGCCAGATGAGGATGGACAGGGCACCTCGGAGCTTCGTAAGCCCCAAGACCTCTGCTCTTTGTATAAGACCTATTCCGATTTTGCCAGCAATCTGTCCAAAGAAATCCTTGGATCTGTTTGTGGCTATCAGTCTGCTAGAGATATCAATGACAACAAGAATCTCAGCTGCGTCTGCCACAAAGAGTTCAAAAACCCTTCGGGTTATCTGATGAAGCTTTCAGAAATACAGGAGACCGTGACGGTGGATGAGCTACAGAAGAAGTCCCAGTCTCTGAAGGATGGCATTCAAAAGTTTGCCACCGATCTGGTAGAAATGAGTCTGGGCAGTGCTTTGAGGGACCTCCAAAAAGGTGTATCTTCCTGCACCACCACTTTATGTCACTTAGCTGCTAGACTTACATCGTCTGTGTTTCAGATGGCATTTCATGAGATTGGGAGACGCCATGCCTACGTCTTGAAGAAACAAGCGATTAATGGATTAGCAGGTTTTCTCGTCGGGGAGGCCGTGTCTGGAGCCCTGAAAGAGTTTCTGACGGTAAAAAAGCAGATTTTTCACAACACGGTAACACGCTTTGCTGCTGACTTGGCTGAGGAGCTTGTATTCGAAGGCATAATGGAGGTGTGTCAGTTTTCCCACCCTTCCACCCCATTAACTCCAAGTGACTGGTCCTTTGGCCAACATCTCGAAGAGGAGGAGGAAGAAGAAGAGGAGGAGGAGGTGGTTTCTTCTTATGCTTCAGATTTGTCTGAATCTGTCATCCAGGAAGCTTTCATAGAACTTTCTCAGGCTGACGTGGCATTCACCAGCCAGGCAGCTATCAGTGTGTCTCTGGAGAACATCTGTTATGTCAGTGCAGAGAGTACAGGAACTGACACCTGCAGTACCTTTACTAACCAGCAGGTTTTAAGTTCCAGCTCTGCTTCAGCAAATCTAGGAGCTTCTGGAGAGGATTCATCTTGCACAGTAAAAAAAGCTCTCATCACCGTCTCAGGCATGGCTAGCTGTGTCCCGGCACCTGAAGTCAGCCATGCGCTGTCCCATTTCCAGGACTCTGAGGAAACTTGTCAGACTAGTTCGTTGGACACTCCATGTACAAGACCCCACAGAGATGCCTCTGACTCTTTGACTGAAAGCACCACTTCCACCCAAGGTCACGAAACCCAGAAATCTACAACCGGAGAAAAAGAAAATTCTACCATTCAAAATCTCTCTAACAATATGGTGGGTATAATAGTTACTGAGGCGTGTGAGCTTATAACTGCTTCCAAGATGAAGAAGAGTTTTGGTGAATGTGCCGATTTTTTCACGAAGACAATTGGAAGCAAAAACGGTTCTGCAGTAAAACAGCAGACGACTTTCTCTGGAACTCCGGAATCTCCTTCCAAGCAGGGTGACGGCGGGACCTGTGTTGAGTTAGATCCAGAAAAAACCACAGTAGTTGTAAAAGCTCAAAATATGACCAGGCACACACTGGACGTGCCAGCCCCTGACTTGTGTGTACAAAGAAAAATGTCTGCGTCCATGCGTGACTCAAGTCCAAGCTCTGACCAGCAGTCTAGTGAATCACCTTGTACTCCTCCGTCTACACCGCAGCACCCCCCCTGTGAGGTGTCAAATGAGAGACAGATAAAGCAGTTTTCCAAAAAGCTTAAGAGTAAACTTTCCAAGGAATTCTCTCCTGCTCCGCCACCCCCAACACCTCACTATCTACCAGAGCCTGACCCAGGGCAAACGGACCACGCCGCTGAAAAAGATGAGGCTGAGTTCTTGCTTCAACTGATGAGTTCTCTGTCCGAAGAGGACAATGGGAATGAAGAGGAAGAACCGGCAGAAGGGGAGGGTGATGTTCCGAGATGTTCAGAGACAGGGAGCACCGACTGGCAGGACACAAACAAGATATCCGCTCAGAGGTTGTCCAAAAAAGAAGCACTCGCCTATGCCGAGCGACTGGCCTGTCACATTGTCTCAATGGCAACTGAAATGGACACCTTGGACAAGTCCGAGGTAGACAAGAGTGCCACGAGTAGGGGCAGTGGGAAGATGGAAGACAGTGTGGCTCAGTTTTCAGAACAGACTCTTAACTCCTTGTGGGTATATGCTGGGGAGGTGGCAGGAGAGGTGATCAATGATGTGAAAAGAATTATGATCAGCGGGCAGCGGTGTCCTCATCACAGAGCACCACAAAGGAGAAGCTCGGAATGCTTGGGTCACCGCCAGACCAAGGATTCCAGGGTAGATAGGCTGACCGAGCAGTGGTCCAGTGACCTGATAGCCTCCGTGTTTCGGTCTCCCCCCTCCAGCTCAAGCACTTTATCCAACTCTAGCTCTGGCATGTCTTCAGAGTTCCCCAGCTGTGAGAGCGTGACGGACGAATATGCAAGCTACCTCATCCGGGTACTGAAGAAGGAAGGGGGCAACAGAGAGTTGGTCCTAGACCAGTATGCAAGCCGTTTGGCTTACCGTTCCATAAAACTAGGGCTTGCTCACGCTAATCGCAAGATTAAGCTAAGATCACTAGCAACCCACCCTTACTCTTCCAAGTCCCTGCCAAATGAATGGAAAATGACTAGTGCTGAGACGTCACCAACCGTAGATACGGCAAAGTCCCCAGTTTGCCCCTCTGGCAAGGAATCTTGTTGTTGTAGCAACTCCGACCAGGAGAATCAGAGGGATTATGCAGCGCTTGTCAACTTTGCCGAGTCTTTAGCTCACAACATCACCCGTGATGTCACACAAAGGGTGCACCTTCCCTCAGCAAGACTGCCCAAGTCTCTCACCGACTCCTGTCTTTACAAGAAATCTAAACACGAAGATGTGGCCGGAAATGCGATCAAAAACTCTTTCTCCTGCACGCTTTTATCCAAGGATGTTAAGAGCAGGCATTACCACAGCACAGGAAGCCTGTACGATGACGGCGACAACACCGGGGTGATGCACGTCGTCGAGCACTACGCTCGGAAAATAGTAGATGACACGCTGAAAATGGGGCTGGTTTTAGTCGGTCAGTCGCCGTGGGAACGTCAAAGAACATACAGTCACGACAGACACTCGCACACCCAGAGGTTGTCCGAGGGCACAGATGCAGGTCGAACTCTGGATGACAGGACATGCCGCTATTGCCCGGCTCAGGAGTGTTACTACTGCAGCAAACATGGAAAATACTACACGCACATGTCACAGAAGAGCAGAAATGCGGCAAAATGTCTGTCACTAACTGAGAGATTCCACAGTCTGGACATTCCTACTATCCACATCGACCTGGACCACCGGGTGGCATTTGCGGAAGAGATGGTTTCAAACGCAATGGAGACGGCAAAACGCGAGCTAAGCAACACCAGCCTTAACGCAGACAGCGGCATTGGACATGATGGAACCAGCTATGCCGAGAGCCTCACTGCAGAGGTGATGACATCGGCGTTGTCGAACATCTGTCAGGCTGCCAATGCTAGGTAAACGCAAAAGCAAAAGTTTTATCGGTTGTAGTTTCTTTTAGTATGGAGCTGTTTTTAGCAGTTTGCCATAACTGGCCTTACTTTTATTGATTTTTGAATTCATTATTTAAATTTCTTCTGTGTCTGATAAGCGCTCCTGGGAGGGAAACCACTGAGTCTACTGTGTGCCAGCAGCTAAGTGTAGGTGAGGACAGTCTGGGTAGCTGGTCCAACCTGAGCTTTGAGGACGACAACAGTAGCTTCCTTCATCTGAGCGACAGGTATGTGGCCTGCAGCTTTATTTTAAAATCAATCTATTGTTAGTAGATCACAGTTAGAAATGTTGCTCAGTTATAGTAAAAACAAATCATAATCTTCGTTTTAGTCAATATTGAAATTTTTAACAATTACTTGTTGGAAAAACATTCCATTCATTGCACAAAAAACACCAAAAATCACCAAAATATTGAACGGCAGGAGGAGACGGGTGGAATCTTTTCAGGTTTTCTTCAGGTTATGTTGACAGAGTCTGTTACCATGGTGACTGACTCAGGCTTTGAGTTACCTTTCTTTCTGAGACAGATAACTAAGAGTTTCCCTCATCTCGGGGTTATTTTACTTACTTTCTGGAGTAGCTTCCCTCTCTTTGACGTTACATAAATGCTCAGTTGATGTAACAGTATCGAAAACGGTAATCTTTGACACCACTGGTTGTATTCGAACATGTGAGAAATGTCTTTATTGTGGTCTGTTTAGTCTAAATCATGCTTCAATTTTTTTTTATCTGAAAGAGGAATTTGTCTTGAGAATATTGTGAAGTATGTTGCAGTGAGACGAGACGCGTATTTTATCGCTTCTGTGGTATTTTTTGTGCAAAGTATGTTCAGCGGTTTAGAACGATTAAAGCAAAGGACGGAACATAATCGCTGCTCCTCCCCGTATATAAAATAGGCATTTCGGTTGTTGCAGCTAGTTTTTGCGCAGGCTGTTTAGGGGTGTGACTCTTAACCTTATTAACCGGGCAAACTCTGGTCGCAATTTGTTGGTAGATTCCAGGATGCTGCATCGCTAGCTAAGTGTATTCAGCAGTATACATTCAGTGTATCTATCAAAGAAGTAATGTAATATTTAATTTTAAAGGACTTCGTTCTTTTTGCTTAATTCAGTAAGGGATGTCCGATATTAACTTTTTGCTGATATCCGATCGGCAGATATTGTCCATACGCTTAATTTCCGATTCGGATATCAACCGATACCGATATATTTAGCCGTTTGGGATAAAGGGAGAGTGCACATTTCATTGTGTGCAGTGGTGTGCTGTGTCACAATGACAATATTGACAAATAATAGTTTTACTTTTACTTTTTACTAACCATTTTTAGGTCAAATCATCAGGTTATCATTAGCGGAGGAAAACCCGATAGCGATTCTTATTGATATTACATAATTAAGCTAATATCGGCTGATAATATTGGTTGGCTCATCGGACATCCCTAGTAATCACGCAACCCTCAAGTTCTCCAAGGCCACATTACAGCATTTGTTTAAGGCAGTGAAAAAGTGACATGTGAGGTTTTGTCTACATGTCATGCTATGGGCTTACTTTGAGAGATTAGCATCACATTTTTAGTCTCTAGTGCATTTATATACCGTAGTTTCTTCCTTAAGTGCTTTAAATGCAAAGCGATAAGGTCCTGATTGGTGTTGTAATTATCACCTAAAATTAGCGGATCCTTAAAACAATCGTCTAATTGTTCAAACCGTGAAGGGTTAAACCCCAGTTCAAGTACAGCTTAGCCGGGTTATTTGTCAAATGTCTTTTTGCCTTTCAATATTAAACAAAAGTGATATGTTCTGTTGATTTCCTGTTAGCAAGCAAGCTTTACATTTCACCGAAAGATCTGTGTTTTTTTTTCAAAATTGGGTGACAAAAAGTTCCATCCTTCTGTGCCCAAACAGAGTGTAGTATCAGAACTTATTGAATATATTCCGATACCAAAATCGATTTTTAATAATGGAGTTGTGGTACCAGGACATTTGGTGGGTTTTGCGTTACATGCAGCAGCCCTTCCTAACATATGTGCTTCATTATATGAAGTCCTCGCAATAACTATGTAAATAAAAAAAATGTTTTCAAAGCTTCAGAGTTGATGTAAGACCACAGAAATGAGGACCAAATTGTAGCAGTCTCTCAACAAGAGAGTGGGCCCTTGTTGTAATCTTTTGGCTGTGAGAATCATTTGATTGGATGTCATCATGGCAGCAGAACTGACAACATTTAAGATTTTTGTGCCAAAGAAGCATGTTGTACAGACATTTTTTTTCCATCAGGACTTGAGGTAATGTACCATAATATTTTCTAAAGGTGTGTCTCAGTCCCCGGACTTGCTCTCTCACCCTGAACGCTTCTTGCTCTTTACTTCAGGCACTTGTTTCTACAAGAACAAAGTCCAACATGTTTTATTCATTAAAGCCACTTCAGAAAGCTCCTTTGCAGCAGATGAAGTAACGGAAAAGGTCTTCAAAGACTTATTGAGACACAGAACACGATGATTGACTAACCGAACATGGGCTTGGTATGTGTCATCCAGTTGAAGCCACAGGGGAAAATAACGCTATCTGAGGTAATTCAGGTGAATGAAGAGATATTTTTAGATCATTCAAGCGGTTCCTCCCTACAGGCGTGCACGTTCCAGCTAATCATCGACTAATTAGACTGAAAAATGAGATATTTTTTTTGTGGTATTTCTACTGTTGTTGCCAGCTATCTACCCTGTCCGGGTAGAACCCAATTTCATTAACAGAATTATGTGAGAACAAGATTAAATCTAATGATCTTCTTTTATTTATTGTTCACAAACACATAGGCACTTGTTTGTTTTACTAGTTTTTCCCTTTTGTCTATTCTAAGATACTCTGGTGCAGCCACAGAGGCATTAATACCAAGCAATGCTAGAGTGAGAAACTTATATGTTGACTTTCCCATGTTGTCTCAAATATCAGTATCAGTTTGTGTCAGCCGATGTGTCAGCAGATTAGTGGCGGGAAGCCGAGACAGCTCGGGTCAGAAAAATTGAAATGCGTCATAGTAGTTGTAGTTTATGGTCAACATATAGTCATAGTAGTTGTAGTTTATGGTCAACGTGCCCCCTGAAGTTGACCCAGACTTTGTTTTAAAGGTCATTTCTAAGCTCCCGTGGGGCACATAGGATGGCTTAGTGGGCCGGATGCGGGCCAAGGGGCCTTGGGTTTAACACATGGCTTTTATTGTGGTATTACAAATCTCACAATACATCCTGTTTCTCTTTATACATGAGTATCAGTATTTCGACGAAGTATTGAAACCGTACTGGTAACGGAGCCTTTAATAGTATTATTTTATTTTTATATTTTAAACACCGCTAGCTAACGTTGGAATTGGGCAGTAAAAATATTTTGTTATTGAAAAATGACATTGTAGTGTTACTTGCCTTTTCTCTCCAGCAGCAATGGGAACAGCAGTAGTTGGAGCAGTTTGGGCCTGGAAGGGGAGGCAGGGGAGGAGCGGATGTCTTTCTCCCCCTCAGACAGGTTAGTGAGCAGCAACACTGTCCGGAAAACAGAGACAAGAGACCTGGTTTTACCGAGACTGAGACAAAAAGATCATAACAGTAATGAAAGAAATTCTGTCCTGGGATTCTTGAACAAAACGTCAAAACTGAAGCCAGAGTCAATTTTCACTTCATGAAAAGTGTGATCCACAGTTTTTCCTGTCATTTTGACGTATACTTTGTCACAGTTTCTCCTTTAGCTTGAGTCACCACACCAAGCTCTGAATGTGAGCAGAGTTCTGACACAACATGTGCTCATCACTGCTAACGCCTGCCTTTGATTCGCTGCCCGGTTTTTGCTCTCCCTTCTGCCGCTGCTCGCATGCAATTTGGTTTAGTCTGACAGGCTGATTTGTAGTGTTGGTGCACTAATGTAGATTCCCCTCCCCTCCACCCCCCTCCCCTTCTCTTTCCTTTTCGCATTAATGCTATTTGACATATTAAATAAAACCATCAGTAGGAACACATCGGCTGCAGATGACTCACTCGAGCCTCGTAATTTTTCCTCGCCACAGACCAGCATTCTTAAAAAAAACAAAAACACGCATGCAAATATGCAGCCGCTCCGACCAGTTTAATTTGTACTGTCTGAGCTTTTGATTTATGGAGTTCCCAAAATGTAGCACACAACGCTGTGCGCAGCGTGCGCGCATTTGATGCTGCACAGTAGCAACTGTTATTTATCTATTTGATGCATAGTAAACATTTTTTTGTAACCTAATGCAAACGTACAACCCTTTAAATTCATGTCGTTTCGGTTCATTCCTTTTTTTTCCAAATTTTTGTTTTTTGTCTATTTGCTCTTTTAATTTTCATTTGAATAGTCTTCTTTTTTTTTCAATTTTTTTTTCTTTAAATTCATGTCGTTTCGGTTCATTTCTTTTTTTCCAAATTTTAGTTTTTTGTCTATTTGCTCATTTGAATAGTCTTTTTTTTTCTATTTTTTTTTCCCATCTGTTTTTGCTACATACAGCGCTATCATTTAGCTGTATTAATCTTAAGGGGGAAGGTAACATATATAGTTAAAAGGCCTTTAGTAAACTACATGCAGAACAAAGTGAGTCAAAAGCAATAGATACCGACAGTATATAAAAAATTTAACATGTCATACATGTATTGTAATTATTGTAAATTAATATTGGGCATGTGTATCAATAATCCTGTCACCAACAGTCACATGGAAAGGACAAAAATATACAAAACACTTGTTGTTTGTTGGCATCTTGTCCCCATTACATATAGTACTTTTTAGTAGAAATTTGTATTCCTACAAAAATACAGTCAAAAATCATGTTTTATATTGCACTTGCATCCTGTTTATTAAAGCCATATTAGGGCTTATTAGTTTTATTCGTTGTTGTTTTTTGTTTTTTGTTTTTTTCACTCATGCAAAATTTGTTCTCCGACAGTGACAACACGGAGGAAAAGGACACTGAAGTCAAAGAAGAGTCCAGTGGTAAGTACGCAACGGTGACCAAGGCAGTCTCCATGTACACTGCTGCATGGCGATGTCTTCTCTACTCGTCAACCAATTCCCGTTCGACAGTGTCATCTGCAAACATCAGGGTCCATGGAGCCAACAAAAAGGGCTCCATTACTGTTCCTTGATGTAACCCCAGCCCTCCCTTGATGATCCACAGGTGTACAGGAACAGAACAGCATCTGGAGAGTTACTGCACTATATACTAAATGTATATAGTAGCTTTGAGCGCATGTTGTTTTGATGATTAAAACGCGTAGACCAGTCTGCTTTTCACTGATCTTAACAGCGAAGTCGTGTGAGTAATCAGCTTTTTATGAGTCTGTAGTTGCTACAACACTGCGCATCACCCATGTCCTTGAAAATTAGTCATCATCTCAGTCTACTGAACTGTAAAACAACCACTGAACTGTTTCTTGAGAACAACTCTTTGCTCTCCACTCTCTGCCACACACCTTTCCCTAGTTTCCACCATTTCTCTTTGGTTCTGCAGTGATCTTTTACAGGTCACT